CTCAGCATCATGTGTGGATTTTTTCCTAGGGTGGTCTCCTAGGTGTGTGTGTGTGTGTGTGTTGGGGATGGAGCGGGGATAGCAGGGAAAGTATATTTATTGTCCAAGTCTGGTTAAAGAAAAGTTTCAGCTTGCAGTGGGGCTGTGCCCACACTGCAAGGGTTAACTGCTCATTTTGTCCGGGAAGGGGTAGTTATACTCCCCTGATCTTCCATTCTACCGGCAAATGTCATTTCCCAGTGGTGGAATGTTCCTGACGTTATCATCATCTAAAGCAGGTCTGTGGAGTCTGCGCTGGGCTTGATGACGTCAGGGACAGTCCACTTCTCAAGACTGGTAGAACGTGGGGGTTCAGGAGCTAGAGGGACAGGTCTTATACAGGGAGGATCAGGTAAGTATAATATTATTACAGGTACTTATATAGTGCTCTTTACCAGGGGGGCGGACTGACAACTCATGGGGCTCCTGTGTCCTTGCCGAAACTCAAAAAAAAACCTATGAAAAAGGTACTGGGGCATCTCATGGGGCCCCCTACTGACCTCGGGCCCTCAGGCAGTGCCCGAGTTTCCAAATGGTCAGTCCACCCCTGCTCTTTACATATATGCAGTGCATCCAGAAAGTATTCACAGCGCTTAACTTTTGCCACATTTTGTTATGTTACAGCCTTATTCCAAAATTTATTAAATTCATTTTTTTTTTCTCAACATTCTACAAACAATACCCCATAATGACAACATGAAAGAAGTTTGTTTTGAAATCTTGCAATTTATTAAAAATAAAAATTGGAAAAAAAAAAAACACATGTACCTAAGTATTCACAGCCTTTGCCATGACACTCAAAATTGAGCTCTGGTGCATCCTGTTCCCACTGGTCATCCTTGAGATGTTTCCACAAGTTGACTGGAGTCCACCTGTGGGAAATTTAGTTGATTGGACATGATTACGAAAGGCATAAACCTGTCTATGTAAGGTCCCACAGTTAACAGTACATGTCAGAGCATAAACCAAGCCACGAAGTCCAAGGAATTGTCCGTAGACCTCCGAGACAGGATTGTATTAAGGCACAGATCTGGGGAAAGGTACAGAAAAATTTCTTCAGCATTGAAGGTCCCAATTAGCACAGTGGCCTCCATCATCCGTAAATGGAAGACATTTGGAACCACCAGGAATCCTCCAAGAGCGGGCCGCCCCCGGCCAAAATGAGTGATCGAGGGAGAAGGGCCTTAGCCAGGGAGGCAACCGAGCACCCAATGCTCACTCTGAAAAGAGCTCCAGCCTTTCTCTGTGGAGAGAGGAGAACCTTCCAGAAGAACAACCATCTCTGCAGCACTCCACCGATCAGGCCTGTATGGTAGAGTGGCCAGACGGAAGCCACTCCTCAGTAAAAGGCAAATGGCAGCCTGCCTGGAGTTTGCCAAAAGGCACCTGAGGGACTCTCAGACCATGAGAAACAAAAACTCTCTGGTCTGATGAAACAAAGATTGAACTCTTTGGCCTGAATGCCAAGTGTCATGTCTGGAGGAAACCAGGCACTGTTCACCACCTGGCCAATACCATCCCTACAGTGAAGCATGGTGGAGGCAGCATCATGCTGTGGGGATGTTTTTCAACGGCAGGAACTGGGAGACTAGTCAAGATCGAAGGAAAGATGAATGCAGCAATGTACAGAGACATCCTTGATGAAAATCTGTTCCAGAGCGCTCTGGATCGTAGACTGCGGCGACAGTACATCTTTCAACAGGACAACAACCCTAAGCACACAGCCCACATAACAAAGGAGTGGCTACGGGCCAACTCTGTGAATGTCCTGGAGTGGCCCAGCCAGAGCCCAGACTTGAACCCGACTGAACATCTCTGGAGAGATCTGAAAACGGCTGTGCATCGACACTTCCCATCCAACCTGATGGAGCTTGAGAGGTACTGCAAAGAAGAATGGGAGAAATTGCCCAAAAATAGGTGTGCCAAGCTTGTAGCATCATACTCAAAATGACTTGAGGCTGTAATTTTTACTAAAGGTGCTTCAACAAAGTATTGAGCAAAGGCTTTGGATAGTTATATACACATGGTTTTGTTTTTTTTTTTACTAAATTTCAAAACAAACTTCTTTCATGTTGTCATTATGGGGTACTGCTTGCAGAACGTTTAGGAAAAAATAAATTTAATCCATTTGGGAATACGGCTGTAACATAACAAAATGTGGCAAAAGATAAGCGTTGTGAATACTTTCTAGATGCACTGTATTGTTTTATCACATCAGTATATCTCGGTTTCTCTCCTCTCGACAAAAACAAGCAATTAACCCTTGCAGTGTAGGCACAGCCCTACTGCAAGGGAAAACTTTTTTTTTTTGTTCACTTTAAGCAGACTTAACTTTAGCTTCAAGGGCACTGTGCGTTGGACAGTTCATTGACAATAAATGGGCTGTCAACACATTTTTTTGATGTAATACATGGAGCAGATGATGAATATTTGCGTTGTTGTTCACTGCCCTTCCTCTCCATCTCACCCAATCAGTGAAGTCTTTGTATTCAATCGAAAAAATAAAAGGTGTTCTGCTGTTCTGCACATGGCAGTAGTACCAAGTAAAGTAAGCTCGCTGCTGTGTCCCAGCCAATGAGGAGGGATAGACCCAGGAGAGCTGCTTCTCTTCTGCACAGGGCTAGATTGAGCTCAGGCATGAAGGTGAAAAACCTTCAGCCTTTGGAACCACTTTAACCTCAGAGCTGGGACAAGGGGGAGGGTGAGGGGGAGGGGGTTGGCAGGAGGGATGGCTGCCTCTTGTGCAATTAATTAAAGTGTTACTAAACCCAGGACTCTGCATTCACTTTATCTGGTCTCCCACAGTACACACTACATGGAAATGAAATTATTTTAGTACATATAAACTGCTAAATACCTTTTCTCATGAGCAGTTAGAGCAGTCTTGTGACTACAGCAGAGCACTGGTTAAAGCTTGTAGGAGGAGTTTTCATTCTGCTCTAGGAGGATGAAAAACCCCTGACCCTCTGTCTGACCAGTGCTGATTGGCTCTGTGCTGACCACATGCACTCTCCCAAGAAAAAAAAAACCCTCTCTAGCAATACACACTAAACTGAGCATGGGCATGTGGCTACGGGTTCAGTCTGTCTTATCAGGTGGACATCTGAACAAGAGGAGGGCCACAGAAGACAAACAGCCTTTTTACACAATGCAGAGGATTAACCTCTTAGGTTCCACAATGAGTATCACAAGCAGGCTTTACTTCATATACAGACTGATTTTACTGTTGTGGGTTTAGAGAAAGAGAGAGCTTGGAGGTGGTGCGGACTGTGTGTTCCTCCCTTCTTTCAGAGGTGGAGGGGGTCGAATTGTGAGCAGCGGCCGTCTGTGCAAGAATGCATAGAACACCTATGCATTCCCATGTGGGCAAACACAGCCCTCATAGGCTATAGTACACCCATTTGAATGATGCCTTAATGTTAATGGAAATCTAATTTGTTTTTTTTTTTTCAGTATCCAAGGAAAACTAGCCCAAATTAGTAGATGTTCGTGGTGATACTACACATAGTATGTGTACATTATTATTTGTACGGAGTAGGGTTAGCACACAGTTATTTTTTTAATTCTACATAAACCACACTGACAATACAGTCTATCTGACACTAAATAAGACGTTTTTTTTTTTGTTTATTCCTACTGAAAACACACTGACTCTGACCTTTGACCCTAGCCTTGGTGCTGACATGGACCCTGAAATTAGTCTAGATCAAACAGACAGACTTTTTCTATAAATTGTACATTTTTCTCAGGATAGGAAGAATGGATACCTTTATTTTTTTTTTTACTCCATTCAGAGGAGAAAGAAGGCAAACGGGCATGTTTCCAGAGTGATCACAACCAACCACAGGCTATTACAGTGATCATGTGATCGAGAGCCAACCCTCCCAGCTCCTATATATTAGTATGAGAGCTGGAGCTGCCAGTGATAGCTTGGTCTTCCTTCTGGGAGCTCTTTATGGAGCAAGCGCTTCCAGTAAAGACACAGGTATACATATATGGGGCACCTGAGAGGACAACTCTGTGATGTTGGCGAGAACCGGTTAAATCTGAACAGTGTTTCTAAACACAGTGACAGGGGTTACATATTTTTGATAAGAACTGCTGGGATAGCTCATTTTGACAGCAGGGACTTGCTGGAGAATGGGAGGGATGGGGGACCCACAGCAGAAGAGGATGTAGGGATGGGGGACCCACAGCAGGAGAGGATGAGGACCCACAGCAGGGGAGGATTGACAGCAGGGGACCCACAGCAGGGGAGGACTTGAGGAATGGGGGACCCACAGCAGGAGAGGATGGAGGGATGGGGGATCCACAGCAGCAGGGGAGGATGGAGGGATGGGGGGAGGGGAGGGAGGGATGGGGGACACCACACTGCAGGGGAGGATAGAAGTTAGTTATTTGGGAGTGTGTGGAGCGCCAATGCTTGCAGCTAGTTGGGATTAAAGAGCAGCTTGAGCCCCCCGTGGATCCCAGTACACACACCTTACACTTGACATCATTTTGTAGCTAAATCCTTCAATAAATGTTTTATTGTCTCTTTATTTGTGATTAAATATTGTATCATTCCATTGTTAGAATAAAGTGAAGTACCAAGGTGCCATGATCATTTTCCGGAATGAAGTAGATACATCCCTCAGTAGACATGGTACAGACCCATGGATAGTTCCGAGCACAGTGTCATCTGAGTGTCTTGCCTGGTCTCCTGCATATTCTCCATTACAATGTACTGCTCTCCCTCGCCATCTGCTGGCGGTTGTGCTATATAACAAGGGAGGTGTGGTGCTCTTGACCGCCACCTGCTGGCGGATGCTTATTTTGCATCCTTATGACTGTTCTTTCTCGCCGCCTGCTGTTGGCTCCCAGGCTGCTGTATTTCCCGGCATGCCCCGGGCGGGGTTCCGGTGACAGAGGAGAGGGGGATCCTGTGACAGGCTACTGCTCCCCTGTCCTTGGGCCGCTCCATGTTCGTGCAGGAGGAGAAGATCTTCCCCGGCCGGGTGATCAGACTCCATGTCTGCACCATGGAGGGGGCGGAGTGGCTGGAGGAGGTGACAGAGGAGATGACACTGGAGAGGCTGAAGGAGCAATGTCTGAGACATGTATGTGACATGGGGGAGGGGGGCTGAGACATGTATGTGACATGGGGGAGGGGGGCTGAGACATGTATGTGACATGGGGGAGGGGGGCTGAGACATGTATGTAACATGGGGGAGGGGGCTGAGACATGTATGTAACATGGGGGAGGGGGTTGAGACATGTATGTAACTATGTGACATGGGGGAAGGGGGCTGAGGCATGTATGTAACATGGGGGAGGGGGTTGAGACATGTATGTAACTATGTGACATGGGGGAGGGGGCTGAGGAATGTATGTAACATGGGGGAGGGGGGTTGAGGCATATATGTGACATGGGGGAGGGGGCTGAGACATTTATGTAACATGGGGGAGGGGGGGATGAGACATGTATGTAACTATGTGACATGGGGGAGGGGGGCTGAGACATATATGTAACTATGTGACATGGGGGAGGGGGGCTGAGACATATATGTAACTATGTGACATGGGGGGAGGGGGGCTGAGACATGTATGTAACTATGTGACATGGGGGAGGGGGGCTGAGACATGTATGTAACTATGTGACATGGGGGAGGGGGGCTGAGACATGTATGTAACTATGTGACATGGGGGAGGGGGCTGAGACATGTATGTAACTATGTGACATGGGGGAGGGGGGCAGAGACATGTATGTGACGTGGGGGAGGGGCGCAGAGACATGTATGTGACGTGGGGGAGGGGCGCAGAGATATGTATGTGACGTGGGGGAGGGGGCGCTGAGACATGTATGTGACGTGGGGGGAGGGGCGCAGAGACATGTATGTGACGTGGGGGAGGGGCGCAGAGACATGTATGTGACGTGGGGGGAGGGGAGCTGAGACATGTATGTGACCTGGGGGAGGGGGGCTGAGACATGTATGTGACTGGGGGAGGGGGGCTGAGACATGTATGTGACCTGGGGGAGGGGGGCTGAGACATGTATGTGACCTGGGGGAAGGGGGGCTGAGACATGTATGTGACGTGGGGGAGGGGGGCTGAGACATGTATGTGACGTGGGGGAGGGGGGCTGAGACATGTATGTGACGTGGGGGAGGGGGGCTGAGACATGTATGTGACGTGGGGGAGGGGGGCTGAGACATGTATGTGACGTGGGGGAGGGGGGCTGAGACATGTATGTGACGTGGGGGAGGGGGGCTGAGACATGTATGTGACGTGGGGGAGGGGGGCTGAGACATGTATGTGACGTGGGGGAGGGGGGCTGAGACATGTATGTGACGTGGGGGAGGGGGGCTGAGACATGTATGTGACGGGGGGGAGGGGGGCTGAGACATGTATGTGACGTGGGGGAGGGGGGCTGAGACATGTATGTGACGGGGGGGGGGGGGGCTGAGACATGTATGTGACGGGGGGAATGAGAGATGTATGTGACGTGGGGGAAGGGGGCTGAGACATGTATGTGCCGTGGGGGCTGAGACATGTATGTGACATGGTGGGAGAGGGCAATGAGACATGTATGTGACGTGTTGTTGGGAGGGGGCAATGAGACATGTATGTGACGTGTTGGGAGGGGGCAATGAGACATGTATGTGATGTGGTGGGAGGGGGCAATGAGACATGTATGTGACGTGGTGGGAGGGGGCAATGAGACATGTATGTGATGTGGTGGGGGGGGGCAATGAAACATGTGACGTGGGGGGGTGGAGACTGAGACCTGTATGTGACACTGGGGGAGGGGGGGGCCTGAGACATGTATGTGACACTGGGGGGAGGGGGCCTGAGACATGTTTGTGACACTGGGGGAGGGGGGCCTGAGACCTGTATGTGACACTGGGGGAGGGGGGCCTGAGACCTGTATGTGACACTGGGGGGGGGGGGCCTGAGACCTGTATGTGACACTGGGGGAGGGGGGCCTGAGACATGTATGTGACACTGGGGGAGGGGGGGTCTGAGACCTGTATGTGACACTGGGGGAGGGGGGGTCTGAGACCTGTATGTGACACTGGGATCTGGGGGGGGGGTCTGAGACCTGTATGTGACACTGGGGGACTGAGACCTGTATGTGACACTGGGGGAGGGGGGCCTGAGACCTGTATGTGACACTGGGGGACTGGGGGAGGGGGGCCTGAGACCTGTATGTGACACTGGGGACACGGGGGGGAGGGGGGCCTGAGACCTGTATGTGACACTGGGGGAGGGGGGGGGCCTGAGACATATATGTCTGGATAGTGCACAGAAGTCTGTAGACTCAGATGGCCATTTTCTGGCACAGTAGAGAAGGCAGAAGCAGGCATATGATGGGTCGCAGTGGACATCCCTGTCTGTCTCAGGTTTGGTATATTTAGGGCCAAGGATCCTGTTGGATTTCTTCAGCACTTGTCTCTTCTGTCCCCCATATCTCTGACCTCTCCTAGAATGATTCCAGTCTTGTTTGGTAGCCATGCCATTGTTGTCCCAGGCTGTACTCTGTGTGGAGCGGATCGTTTATAAAGAATAGTCACATTTGTTGGTTGCCTGCTTAGAAAATCTGGTTGTTTGCCGGCTATCTTCCTTTGTTGTGTAAGGCGGACAATGCTGACATTTCTGATTCGGTGGTTTCCTTTAAGTGGTGTCATTGGAGGTTTTAGTCCAGGTAGAATATTTGGGTTTCTGTTCATGTCACAGAAGCTATTGTTGTTGTTGCATCTCTGGTGTATATCACAGGAATCCGTTTTGACAGGTGGAGCAAACACAAAATGAAGCTGTAGCCAATGGCATCCAATCAAACTTCAAGAATCATAGCCCCTTATTGCTGACCATAGATTAGAGTGGATGGTCCGCTTTGTCCTCTACAAAGACATTTTAAAAATAAAAAAGGGCCCGCTGTGAATTGTAAACAAATAAAATCCATCCATTTACCTGCTACATCACCCTTCCCTTCATCTCTTCCATGTATATACAAACTAAATAAATTGATACAAAAACTCTTCTCCAGCCAAGTTCTCCTGCACTAAAAAACTGTTACATTTTTGTAGCCGATTTGAAACCACTTAGCTTTTCAGGATAAGGCCCCTCTCACACGGCTGTTCCAATCAGGTCTGCTTGTAGGTTTTTCTGGTGGACCTGATCAGAAGGTTCATGAATCCCTATGGATGGGCAGGTGTAAATGGACTTGTGTCTGTTTACACTGACCTACCTCCGGTTCCAATTGGGTCAGCTAAAAAAGAAAAACGGAAGGGGATCCGTCCATTGCTATTTAGCTGGATTGGAGGGTGGTTGGTGTAAATGGACATTTGAAGTTCCTTTACATCCGGCCACTCATAGAGCAGAGTAGGCTCCTCTCTGCAGAAACTGAGCCGACACGGACCTGTCATCAAAAGTATCCTGTTCTCTTTGTATTGTTTCCTTTGCGTGAAATCCCTGGTTTTCCTGTCAGTCCCTCTGCTTTCCTATTTAAAAACTGACCACACTAGGCAGGAGAACACAGAGTGGTCAGTTCTCTAGCTATGCTGAGAACTCAGCCTTTTCTCCTCTAATGATGAGATTTGGCCTGACAATCCCCCACCCACACCTCCCCTTCCCAAACAGCCTTTCACTGGGAAGTTCAGTGTTCTGCTGTTTCTCCTCCCCTCAGCTCTTATGCAGCTGAGAACATAGGGCATGTTATAAAAAAGGGAAAACGAGTGTTTGCATTGTGTTTTTTTTAAATATCTATACACAAATGTTTTGCCTTTCATTTCTATTTTAAACTGGCTTGTTTCACAAGGTGAGGGTTTACATATACTTTAATGCTGGCTTATACTCGCCTTCTCTTTGCTCCCCTACCCTCTGTTCAAAATTTTGTGTACTTCTGGATATGGGGCAACCTGTGACTTGCTTCATTTCCTCCAAAATAAGTGTGTTAGGTGATAGGCTCATACTAGGATTGACCTAGATCTTACATAGTTCTTTATTCCTTTCATTTCTATTGGTGAATGGAGAAGTAGGGGAGGGAAAGAGAATGTGAGTATATGCTGTGGCATGGCTGACTTTAAAGTGAACCCATTACTTCCTATATAGACAAAGCATCATTTCACTTTAGGAGCATTTTAAGCAGGGAGGGAGAATCCGATACCTGTTGAGTCTCAAATAAGTTCCAACAGGCTCCTAGCTTTGAGACATTTCCACTAGTAGAAATGGAAAGCTATACTCATGAGCACTGTGTCTGATGGTATACCTTGTCTTGTTAGAGATGTAGGCTGTCAATCTGATCCTTGCTTTACAAAGAGTGTCACTGACCAGGAGAACCCATGCAGCCAGTGAAGCGCCGGGGCTCTGGTGAGCACCATCCAGAGTTTGTATCTATAAAACAGAAGTCAGTAAGGGCAGTGCCCTTATTTGTATCATGATTAGTTCGATTTAAAAGTAGCTTACTAAGAGGAACAATGCAGATTAAGTATGGAGGCTGCTATTGCTGACCTGGCTGTCATGCTAATCCAGTGGCTCCAATAGGTCATCTCTTAAGAACGCTGGACTCCTTCTTAGACATCGTGTTGTTGCAGCAATGGGTGTTAATTTTGTTGATGTGATGTGGTGATGTTCATTCTGAATGGCATCCCAATGCACCTCGTGATGGACACTGCATTTACAGTAGTGCACAAGTCAGTCAGCAGGTGTGTTAGGATGCCATTCTGATTGATTAGCATTGTATCGTGCCATTGCACATAATGATTATTATTTGTGAATTCTGCCTTGTCCTGGGTCAGTGATTTAGACAATATTGAAACCAAGGACAGCCATGAAACTAGTATTCATAAAAGTTGAAGAGTAGTGGTCAGTTTAGGTTTTCATTTCAGCTCTTTGGAATTATAAAAAGAATGCTGAGCAGTCAAGATGTCTTTGGCTAGCTTGGGGTAACATTAGTAGCAGTAGACACCCTGGGGTTTATTTACTAAAGCTGGAGAGTCCAAAATCAGACTCACTTCTGCATAGAAACCAATCAGCTTCCAGGTTTCATTGCCAAAGCTTAACTGAACAAGCTGAGGTTAGAAGCTGATTGGTTTCTATGCAGAAGGGAGTCTGATTTTGG